GCAGCACTCGTCATCAAGAGACATGCAATCTATTATACTTTTCTGTTTTATTCTTCATTCCTTTCCTTTGTGTTATCTTGCCACGTTATGTTTCCTCTACAAGGGCAGGGATTTTTGTTTTCTTTGTTTTTCTTCAGCACTTGGAACAGTGCCAGGCATGCAGTGGACAATCAGCTAATATCTGTGGACAGATGAATTGTTGTCATCATAGTTTGTAGTTATTTATTTGTTTACCTGGTTGTTGGGGGGGGGGAGTGTCTGCCAGACTCACTCTTAGCATTACGCTTGCACTAGCTCCATGCCTGGATTCCTACTAAGCACCCAGGAAATAGCCTTTGGATGGATAAGCTAAGTAAGCCCCACAGCCAGGGGTAGGCTGGGGAGGGCTGCTCAGTGTGGTGAGAAGTTCTTCTGCTGAAGACCAGGGTTATTTATTTAAAAAAATCTGGGTCTCTGCAGGGGGAGGAGGGAGAAGGAGCTCTGGGTCTTAACATTGTATTACTTCTCTGCATTCTGATCATAGCTCACAAGGGGAGGTCTTAGAATCCATGTGGCTAGAGAGGGAAATAAAGGTGGGCTTTCTAAAAACATGAATGGTCTTGGCAAGAGCTGCAAAAACTCAAAGGGCAGAGGAGGATTGACTGGGGCCTCTGCTACAAGTCATTCAAGCATTGAAGCACCGTGCTGGGTCATTGAAGGCTGTTGGACTCCATTTATTTTTCTTCTCTTTCTTTCTGCAGGCTGTTTAATTCAATTGTCACAGGTTCCTGGGTGCACAAAATGGTGGAGCAGCTCAGAGAAAGATCGACAGAAAGAAAGGAAGAATGACGAAAGAGACAAAGAAGAAGCTTCTCAGAGGCCAGGAACAGTTTTTGCAGAAAGGAGGACACTAAGCTGGCTTTGAAGCATGAAAAGGACCTTCTCAGACAGCAGATGTGGTGACAGGTGTGAGACACCCAGGCAGAGAGACCAGCTGGAGACGAGTGTGATGTGCTGAGCCATGGAGGGTAGGGGATGTCACGGGTCATCAGTCTGGGTGGATGGCTGTTCCTGGGGTGTCCACTAGGAACCGGGCATGGCGCTAGTGCAACCATAATAAGAGTGAGCTGGCTGAGTTGGCATCCTCCCAAAATTCATACACTGAGGCCCTAACCCTCCGTATTTCCACATGTGACTGTATTTGGGGATAGAACCTTCAAAGAGATTACTAAGTTATGATGAGGTCATGTGGGGTGCGGCTAGTCCTATAGGACTGGTGGAGATTAGGGGAGAAGAGGAAGTTAGAACCCAGGCACATGCAGACGAGGACCATGTGAGGACATAGGGAGAAGACAGTCACCTGCAAACCAAGGGGAGAGGCCTCAGGGAAACCAGCCCTGCAGACCGTGGCCTGATTTCACCCTGTGGGTGAGTTCATTCCATGCACGGGAGAGCCTCTTGAGTGTTGGAGAAGCAGCTGTGGATAGAGGTGAGCACCCTGGGAGGGCTGCGTGGAGGCATCTACTGATGTGCAGGCAGGAGGGTCAGAGACAGAAAGGGCCCAGGGCACACTTGGAGTGTGGCGTGGATGACCAAACTACCCTGAAATTGGGATGAAAGAGATCAGACAACACACCAGCCTCTGGTTTAGGATGTCTGTTACTGAGCCGCCGGCACTGCCACCTCCCTCCTCTTGTCTCCCCAGCACACCCTGTGCAGGCCCAGACTGGAGTTCCGTGGGGTCCCCTACATTTCACAGCTCACCACATCGCACTCATCTCCAGGTCTCACTCATGTTCCCACATCTGCTAGATGAAGTCTTTCTCATGCTCCAAAGCCAGCTCAGTGTCCCCTCCTCCACAGACACCTGACTCCTCAGAGGTTCATGCCTTCTGTCTGTCCATCTCTCTCTGAGCTGCTCTGCCATTTTGTCACCCAGGCTCATGTGACAATTGAGTTAAACAGCCTGCGATGACCCACAGCATGGTGCTTCCACGTGTGACACATAGCAGAGGCCACAGAGAGCCCACCTCTGACCCCTCACACAGGGGCTGCTTTGTGACTGTTTGCTGAGTAAAGTTTGGACAGTGCTGGACCTTGGTCTTTTGTGTGACACACAGATGGGCCTCCTTGTGACCTTGGACTGGTTGGGTAAACCTCGAGAAAAATATTTACTAAGACAGACAGGACATGATGTAAGGGAAAACACACAGGAGTGGATGTCTGCACGAAGGGGCCCCATCCTTAAGAGCCACCCTGAGCCCACAGCACAAATGCAGAAAAAGGTCTGTGTCTGGTTGCAGCCATCTGCCCTGCCGCTGGCCCACACATGTGTCATCTAGGCTGTCGGGGCTGGGCCCTCACTATCACCAGCTGTGGGACCCTGGGAAAGCACTTATGCTGTTGTCTATAAAATGGGAACAATGGTAGACTTTGCTGGTTTGTCAAGGAATGGGTGAGATCACAGGTGCAAAGTGTCTGGCATGGGCTGGTGCATCGTGGGGCCTCAGTACTTTGGGGAATGGACAGGGCTTGGGGTCCTGACCTTGTAACCTCTAGTGGGCACTCATCTCTGATGCAATCCAGACTCTAGAATCTGAGGTAGGGGGGCACAGCCTCATGGAAGCATGCTCAGAATGTTCAGAATGGGGTGGGCAGGCGCACAGTGGGTCAGACTTGGGAGCAGCAAAGGACTCACTCACCCATTCATTTGGTTACTGAGTGTCTGATCATCTTCATTTCACAGAGCAGGAAACATGTGGTGCTTGGTGGAGGGAGGGAGGGAACTTACCTGGCTCAGCGGGAAGCTGGTACTTGATATGTCCCTGAATGAGGCTTTGCTGCTGGTCAACTCTCCTCCACAGCACAGCACAGGACTGACTGTATAGCTCTGGGCCACACTCCCCGCACCAAATTCTGGCTGCACCACTTAGGAACTGTGTGACTGGGTAAGCCACCTAACCACTCCAAGCCTTGCCTTTCCCGTCTGTGAAATGGGAATAGCAGTGATGCCTTTCTTCATAGGAGTCCTATGAGGGGCAAATGTGATCCAGGTGAAGGGCCAGGCACCTGGCCTGGAACATAGTAAGCTCTCAATGACACCATTCCCAGAGCTACCTCCATAAAGACAGTTATAACCAGTGTTTGCAAAATGCTTTATTGTTAATGCCAATGTAAAATTCAAAAAGTTAGTCATTGACACCTGCAACTGATACTCTACTCTTTGCAACAGGCTTCCCTTCTTCCACTCCCATCCAGGCCCATAAGATTATAACCATATCCACAAGATGATATAATCAATCATCAAATGGGCCATTTCCACCCTAATATCCAGATGTTTGTCTTACAGGATGAATGGCTCTTGAGTGTTTTGAAATCAACCATGATTGACAGGGCACACCTCAGCCTTTCTATATGATTTCAGGAGTCCTTGGATCACAGCAAGAGTCTGATCCTTGTATACAGAGGAAAACTGAGGTCCAGAGAGAAAAAATGTTGCCCCAATGTCACACAGCAGGTTAGGGCCAAAAGAGTAGCCCCATTTCAGACTCCCATCCCAGTATTTTTCTCATGCAGGATGAACTGACAGTTACTGTTGCTGATAGGTGGGGGACCAGGCTTGGACGTGTGCTTCCTGGTGGCCCTCGCCCACTGGAACCCTCCTCCTGAGCTTTGTGGCACTGAGCTGGGCATCAAGGGCCTGGACTCTGGACCTGTCTCCTCCACTAACATGCTGGTGAACTTGAGCATGTCAACCAGCCTCTCTGGATCTCAGTGCTAATCTTTCTTGATAAATTGTGAGGGCAAGACTGAATGTTCTCCAAATTTCCCCAAGGCACCTGTATCTTGTGGTTGTGTGGGTGGATGCAATCATTATTTAGTAATTTTATTGTTTGTAATGCCTCATTAGTCAACTAAACCAGTGTAAATCACTAGCTACCAGCATACGGATGGGCCATAGCACACCCACCTTCATCTCCTACCTGAGGCCTGTAGATTTCAGAAGAAGCCCCACCTCAGGGGCAGTTCACTTTGCCAAGGAAGAGGGTATTGTTCTCCACAACGAACATCAGAAAGGGCCTGTTGAACACTATCCTCTGAGAGCCCAGGTAGGCCGACCTGAACATGAAGATTGTCCCAGTGGCTGCCGCCACTCTGGTCCCAGACTCGTCCACCTCCACCACAGCTTTGTGCACCATCTGCAGGGGAGAAACAGGTATCACCAGGTCACCAGGGGTGCCCCACCCAAGTGAAGCCATCATAGCAAAAGGCAAAGTGTCTGCCTATGAGCATCACCCTCTAAGTATCTGTGCAACTGAGCCATGGAGCAAGTTTGAAATGGAACAATGAAGAAGCTACTCTGCCCCAAGCACTCTGCTGGGAGGTCACTTCACATGTGTCTATCGCTGAATTTTCATGACATCTTGGGGGAAGTTGTGGCTCTTCAGTTTTATAGAGGAGAGAATGGGGTCTCAGAGAGTTCAGTATTTTTTGGAGATCACTCAGCTAGTAAGTGTCTTCTTAGTTTTATTGTTTAATACAGCACTCCTTAACCCAAGGAACAGTGGTGGATAAGGCTTCCCATTACATAAAGGAAAAGACACAAAATGAAACGTTTGCTTCTTGAAGGAAAAGAGAGAGGGAGGGAGAAGGAGAGAATAGAATAGAAATAGAAGAATAGAATAGAATAGAATAGAATATTAGAGTGGTTGAGTGGAGTGCAGTGGGGTGGACTGGAATGCAATAGAGTGATGTGGAAAGTACTGGAATGGAGTGGAGAGGAGTGGAATGGAGTGGAGTGAAGGCGAGTGGAATAGAATAGAGGTGTGGATTGGAGTGGAGTGGATTGGAGTGGATTGCAGTGGAATAGAATGGAATGGAGTAAAGTGGAGTGGAGTGGAGGGGTGGAGTAGAATGGAATAGAGTGGACTGGAGGGGTGAAATGGAGTGAAGGAGTGGAATATAAAGGAATGGAATAGAGTGGAGTGAAGTGGAGTGGAGGAGTGGAGTGGAGTAGAGTGTAATGAAATGGAATGGAATAGAATAGAGTATAATAGAATAGAATAGAATGGAGTGGAATGGATGGGAATGTAATGGAGTGGAATGAATTGGAATAGAGTGGAGTGAAGTGGAGTGAAGAAGTGGAGTGGAATGGAATAGAATGGACTGGAGTGAAGTGGAGTGGAATGCAGTGGAGTAGAATGGAATAGAGTGGAATGGAGCAGAATGGAATGAAGTGGAGTGGAGTGGAGTGGAGTGGGCTGGAGTGGAGTGGAGTGGAGTGGGCTGGAGTGGAGTGGAGTGAAGTGGAGTGGAATTGAATGGGGTAGAGTCAAATAGAAAGAATAGAATAGAATAAGATGGAGTAGAATAGTATAGAATAGATCTTAGAAAGCAGATGCACAGGAGCTTCTGGACCCACCTCACACACCTGGATGTTTGAGTGGTTGCTGATGCCGGACAGGTCAGCATGGGAGGTGAAGATGTCACTTATCCTTAGCACGCCCCTTTTCTCGCTTTAGAGACTCACGGTGTCTGCTCCTGCTTCTCCCTCAGAACTCGGCTTCAATGGCACCACCCCAGAGACACCCTCGGGGCCTTGGCTGCGGAAGGTCCTCCCGATTGTCTCTCTTAGTGCTCTGTTCGCTTCCTGAACTGGTCTCCTGCCTCTACCTTTGCAACTCCCAACCCCACCCAAGTGCCCTCCCCTATTTGGTTTTTTCTTTTTGGAACATTTTCTTTAAAAAAAATTATTTTAAAACAGTTTGGATGTACAGAAAAGTTACAAAAGCAATTCTGAGAGGCCCGATATACACTCTCCCTGCTTTTCCTAACGTAAACGTGGACCTCTAATGTGACCACGGCACGTTCCTCAGAACTAGGAAGTAGACATTGGGACAGCCTGGACTTCCTTGGGGGTCACCAGCTCTCCCACTGATGTCCTCTTCTGTCCCAGGAAAATACATGGCATTTAGTCGCCATGTCTTTTTAGGTTCCTCTGGCCAGGCACCATTTTCCAGGGTTTCCTTGCCTTTTGTGACCTCAACACTTTTTTTTTTGAGACGGAGTCTCGCTCTCTCACCTAGGATGGAGAGCAGTGACACTATCTCAGCTCACTGCAACCTCCACCACCCAGGTTCAAGCAATTCTCCTGCCTCAGTCTCCTGAGTAGCTGGAATTACAGGGCGACCACAAACTCACCCGGCTTATTTTTGTATTTTTAGTAGACAGAGTTTCATCATGTTGTGCAGGATGGTCTCGATCTCTTGACCTTGTGATCCAACAGCTTCAGCTTCCCAAAGTGCTGGGATTACAGGGGTGAGCCACTGTGCCCAGCCAACCTTAACATTTTTAAGTAGGACTGATGGGGTATTTTGCCAAATGTCCCTGAAATTGGGATTGGCTGTTGTTTTCTCATGATTAGATTAAGGTTCTGGATTTGGGGAAGATCCCGACAAGAGGATGCACCTGGTTCATGATGCCACACAGAAGACAGCAAGATGTCAGCACAGCTCACAGCTGGCGAAGTCAACCTTGATCCCTCGGCCAAGGTGGTGTCTGCCAGGTCTCTTGGCTGACATGTCACCATGTTCCACTTTCTCTGCTCCATCTAGATGACAGCCTCATTCTGCAGCACTCGTCATCAAGAGACATGCAATCTATTATACTTTTCTGTT